GGAAGGCGAGAATTTACTTCCTTATCCCTATCTATAAGTTTTTGGAATTCGCCGCAACGATCTAGATGGATAAAATGGATAAATAGAAAGACAGGAATAGTCATATAACGAGATAAGAGACAGGTAGATAGATGGAAAGTGAGAAAAGATAGATAGATAGACAGGCAGACGGAAAATCACCAAAAATTAGACAGATAGACCGAAAGATAGTGAAACGTAATCAAATAAACAGACAAACATACGATCAACAAGTAAACAAAATATCACAAATAGAAAAGAATATCACACACACCTATCAAGTACCCCTTTCAATTCCCTCACAGGAGCAGAATGATCAGTGTCATAGGGAATTCGGTCGTGAGGTTCCTGACTGCGGTCACCTTGCCTCTCCTCCGCCTGATCCTGCTGTTCGTGGTGCGGGAGGCCGGGGAAAGGGGGAACTATGCTCTGAGCGGACAACTGCACGCGGACTATGACTTCATCGTCGGTAAGTGAGGAGATATGCTTTTTAATTTTTTGTTTTTACTATTATTATTATCATTATTATTATTACTTTATCGAGCTATAATTTCATCGTCGGTAAGTGAGGGGATGCGCTTTTTTAATTCTTGTTTTTATTATTTCTATTATTATCATTATCATTATTATTATTATTATTATTACTCTTTTATCGAGCTATGACTTCATTATCGGTAAGTGAGGCGATATCCGCTTTTTTAATTCTTGTTTTTATCATTTTTATTATCATCATTATTATTATCATCATTATCATCATTATTATTATTATTTTATCGAGCTATGAATTCATTATCGGTGAGGCGATATGCCTTTGTTCATTTTTGTTTATTATTATTATTATTATTATTTTATCGAGCTATGATTTCATTGTCGGGAAGTGATGCGACATTTTTATTTTATTTTATCTGTTTAATTACTGTTTTTAATCGAGTTTGTTTTTATTGTCGGTAAGAGATACAATGTTCATGTTTATTTCCATTCTGTTCGTATTATTATTATCATTATCGTTTTATCGAGCTATGATTTTATTGTTGCTAAGGGATACGATATTCATGACTAGTTTTGGTTTATGTTCCATGTTTTTTTGTTTTGTTTTTTTTATCGAGGTGAAAATATACTGGTCAGGTTGACAGGTTTGGTGGACGGTAACTGTTTGGTATATGAATGAATGATAATTATTTTGAAATACGATACTGGCTGTTCGTATGTGTTTTACCTTTTCACCACCAGTCTCTTCAAGCGAATCTTCACCTCTATATGAAACAGAGAAACAGGTACATCCATTTGTCTATAAGTTGAAGGTAATATTGCATAAATTCTCGTGTTTACTGTTTTTTTATATATATTTTTTCACAGGGTTCATTCCTCTTCCTCTTCGTCCTCTTTCTGACTAGCTCTTTTTAGCATTGTTATGTTCCTCTTCTTTTATCTGGGTTTTCCTTCTCCCTTCTTGGAGTTTCGCGATGATTACCAAAAATGGCTTCCTTTCCCATTGCCGTCTGTCTCTATTTTTTTTTCTCTCTCTCTTCCTCACTCTGCTTTTCTGTACATAATTATATACTTTCTCCTTTTTATCTTATTATTTTCATCTCTAAAGTCTGTCGATGATGACGAAATCCAAAATGGCCGCCTTTACCGCCATTGCAGTCGGCGCCGGGAGTGGCGGAAGTGTCATGGCCTCCAGATTATCCGAGGTCGAGGGCTGGCGCGTGCTGGTGGTGGAGGCGGGCGGTCCTCCTCCTGCGGAAACCTTCCTGCCGGCGTTCGTGCCGTTCTTCTTCCTCCCTGGCCATGACCTAGACTGGGACTACAACTCCACGCCTCAGAAGCACGGGCTGAAGAACTTTGAGAATCGGGTGAGGGTCAGACTTTCTTTTTTTTCAGAGTTACGCACGCACGCACACATGCCCACACCCAATCACATATACTCACATACGTATGTATATATGTACACTTATACATCTGAAGTGTTCAACTCTCTATCCCATGCCATGTATACCAAAAAATAACGCCCTCGCCTACAGATGGCGCGCCTCCCCCAAGGGCGCGTGATCGGCGGTACCTCGTCCATCAACGGCCTGATGTACGTGCGAGGAAACCGGCGCGACTTCGACCACTGGGCCTCCCTCGGGAACGCGGGCTGGGACTACCGGTCTGTGTTGCCGTATTTCATCAAGGCCGAAAATTACTATGGCAGCTTCCTGGGAGAGAATGGTTAGTTTCTGTTGTTATTCTGCCTTTTTTATTTGAGGAAGGTACCTCTGTTGTTTATTTCTGAGAGTGCCAGTGGTTCATAGCCTGAGGCGTCTGAGTACCAGCTGGCCGAGGGGGAGGATCTCGTTGCCTCTCTGTGAAGCAGGAGGAAGGATTTGGCGACACCAGTACACTTCCCCCAAAGTAATTTTCGGCTTGGTCTTATGTTCATGGGATTAGGGGGCATACCCCTGCTAGTGACGGCTAGTCTGTCAGCAAGCTTGTTCCCTCTGATGCCAATATGGCTAGGGACCCAGTTAATGATAATTCTCCTACCCTGAGCAAAAATTCTTTGGCCTTTGGTCAGTATTGTGGTCAGGAGGTAGATGTTGTCTTTGGATGAGCTGTGCTGAGGACAGTCAATGGCTGCCCTAGACCATGTGTCCTTCCCTTAGGGACATGTGGGATAGGGCTCCCATGATCGCAACTGCCTCTGCCTGTAGCAAGGCGTTGTCTGTTACCCTCATGGATTGCAGGGCATCCCTTGCTGCAAAGCCGGCGCCTGCAGTGTGGTTCAAGGGATCGACCGATCCATCCGTGTAGTATGTTCTACTACCCGGGGGAGTGATGGCTACAATGACCCTGTGGGTTTCTGCCTTTATGCCAGGCGTGGGGTATTCGCTCTTTTTCAATGGTAGTCTCATTATTGAGAACTCTATTGAGGTTTGTGCCCACGGCGGGGCTTCGACAAAGTCAGGGTAGGGGGAGTCCATGCCCTTAGCGAGAAGCTGTTCTTTGAGCTCATAGCCTATCAACACCCTGGCTGTGTGAGACAGCCAGGAGTTGTTTGCAAAGAGCTCGTTGTCTTGTTCTAGGCGTCTGACTTGTTTTTGTGTCAGGCTGGATGACCTTTGATAGGAAATTTGTTGCCATTAGATCGATTCGTGAGTCCAGGGGGTAAAGGTTGGCCTCCATCAGGAAGTAGGTTGGGGACCTTCGTCCACTTTGAGGCACTCAGAATGATCCTGGCAGCTTCATTTTGGACTGTCTCCAGTTTTTCTCTGTACTTTTTCTTTATGCCAATTAGAATGACTGAGGCATAGTCCACAATGGGCCGGACAGCATGTACATAGAACTATCTTAGTACTTTATGTCTGGCTCCTATGCGTCTCCCAGACATTGCTCTGATGACAGACAGTCTTGCTTTAGTTCGGTCAACCAGGTACTCGGCCTTCTTGAAGGAGAAGGTCCGGTGTATCCATACCCCAAGGTATTGGAAGTCCGGGACCCATTCCAGGTCTACTCCCTGGATTTTCTAACTTGTGCCTTGAACTTTAAGTCTCAGAGCTGTGCCTTTGGATTTGGCTGCAGAGATCTGTCTGGTTGTAAGCTTTCTTGTCTTGCCCTCAGATCGACTGGCAGACTGTTGCTGCTAGTTCTCGAAGAGAACTCGCACGCTAGTCTGTTTGCCTCTGCTCGAGGGTCATAATTCGTGCACCTTGGGGCTGAGCAGCTGGTAGCTCGCCTGACCCTTTGCCATAGCACTGAAAGGGTGGTTTGGTGGTCAAAGGACCATTCCAGCCACTTTTCCTGCCTGGCTCATTTGGCAGGTTTCTTAGTATCCCTAACAACCTCCCTCAGCAGTGCGAGGTTGTCAGGGGTTCTTTGCCTTCGGAATAGTTTTCAACACATGTTTACCCTGTAGTTGACCTCCCTAATCTCGTCGTTAAAGTATCAGGCGTCCTTGTGACACCTGGACCCAGGCCGAGTTTTAGGTATGGTCAGTGAGGCTGCTTGATTAATGGCATCAATTAGTCTAGCTTCAAGCACTTCCACATTTTCGGCTTGTGTGGGTAAATTGCGTCTCAGACAGTGGGCCAAGACATTCTGGAATGCCTGCCAGTCGGCCTTGTCTGTTTTCCATCTTGGATTTGGTCGTGGGACTTCGGCTGAGCCAGCATCCATGAGGGTAGTTATAGTGCCATAATGGTCACTTGTAACAGTTTCATCGACACAGCAGCTAATCCTCTCTACCAGTCGCAGTGACCAGGATGAGGACTAGGACCCCTCCTCTGACATGCGTTGGCTCTTGGGTATTGAGGAAAGCGATCTCAGGGAATGATTCAAGCACATTGGCTATGTGATAGCCAGCCGCAGTCGGTACCCGGCAGGGAGCCAGGATGGGGTGTTGTGCGTCAAAGTCTCCGCCTATGATCACTCGGTCGAGTGCAGCAGAAGCACAGACCTGGCTGATATCTAAGCCACTACAGCCTGGCCGGTTGTACACATTGTATAGTTTGAGGGGCCCCCTGACCAGATGAATCTCAACGGTAAGAGATTGTCTCCGCAGTGCGGCGCATCTCTATTGCGGAGCAGGGGATTGTTGCCTTGACAAGGGTGATCAAGCCTCTTTTGCCAGGTGAAGACATGATACCCTGAGAAGCGAACAGTGCCCTCTGTTAGTGTCTCCTGGAGCATGACAATGTCAATGTTCCTTGATTGCACTACTGCTTGGAGAATGGCATTCCTTCCAGAGAAGCCATTGATGTTCCACTGTAGGATGCTTAGGTTGTGTGCCAAGATGTTACTAGATGATAGTTACATCAGAGACACCGTCATATTCAGATTTTTCTGAGTCTGATAACTCCATTGGGTCTTCATCGGTTGTCAGGCTATCCTTGGGTCCACTGGGGGATGGAGACCCTTTAGTAGCTCTGACTTTGGTTACTTTGGATTTTCTCTCAGACTTTTTCTCTGTGTTTTTCTTTGCTGGCCTTGCCTGGGCAAACCCCTGGGGAGAGACTAGAGGGGATGCCCTTCCACCATATTGTTTGGAACCCTTGTGCTCATCCCTCTGAAGCAGCCACCCAAAGGTTGCTTCACCTCAGTTAGGGATGGAGCTCTTGCACTTTTTCTAGGAGGTTCCTTTCTTCCCTCTGGAACAACCACCCAAAGGTTGTTTCACCACAGAGAGGGAGGACTTGTACCTTTTCAAAGTGATTCCCTTTTCCCTCTGAAACAGCCATCCAAAGACTATTTCGCCACAGCGAGGGAGAGAAGTTAACTTCGAGGTGGTTCCAGTGGCGGGATGGGAAGGCAGTGTCCTGTCTAGCAGTAGCTATTATGACAGAGGCACGGGAAGCGCGTGTGTAGGTGTAAACCCCTGGTGAGAGACCAGAGGGGATGTCCCTCCACATATTGGACATCATTGTTTGGAACCCTTTTGCTCATCCCTCTGAAGCAGCCACCCAAGGGTTGCTTCTCCTCAGTGAGGGATGGAGCTCTTGCACTTTTTCCAGGTTCCTTTCATCCCTCTGGAACAACTACCCAAAGGTTGTTTCACCACAATGAGGGAGGAGAGGACCTGTACCTTTTCAAAATGATTCCCTCTGAGACAACCATCCAAAGGCTGTCTCACCTCAGTGAGGGAAAGGAGCTCATTCACTTTTACCAGGCAGTTCCTCTCATCCCTCTGAAACAGCCACCCAAAGGCTGTTTCACCACAGTGAGGGAGGAGAGGGACTGAACCTTTTCAGAGTGAATTCCTCTGCCCTCTGAAACAGCCACCCAAAGGCTGTTTCACCGCAGCGAGGGAAGAGGAGTCCTGCAGATTTTCAAGGAAGCATCTACAGCCCTCAGAAGCAGCCACCTAAAGGCTGGTTCACCACAGTGAGGGAGAGAAGATAACTTTCGAGGCGGTTCCCGTGGCGGGACGGGAAGGCGGTGTTCTGTCTAGCAGCAGCTATTTCGACAGAACTTAGGCTGAAGGCCTGCCAAATAGAGGGGCTCCTGCCTGCCTATCATCCTAAACGAAAAACTAGAGTGGCATTCATCAGATGGTCTGCCAGACCAGTCCCTAGCAAATAGAATGGCAACTCTCTGCTCACCGTAAGGCCCCCAGACACACCCTCCCCTGCGGGAGGTAAAGGTCTGCCCACGTCCGAGCACGCGCCCGAAGATGGGGTCCAGTGCGCAGAGAGTTATCCTAATGCCGAAAAAATCCGTAAAGGAATGAATAGGCTAGAGGGCACGAAGCTAAATGCAGAGCAAGCAAATAGCATCGCGGCAGCAACGAGGGGTGGACACCGAAGCGTCGCGGTAACGCGTAAGAGCCAAGGCCGTGTTTGCCAGAGGGTGGCTCCAGTCGATCTCTTTAAAACGCCCCCGGCAAAGTTCCCGTGATCGAGGCATCTCGGTAACCCTCTTCGCATTATCAGCTGGCTTGGCGCCACCCGCTGCGCCCCGTCGAACGCCCTTTCCGGTACGATCCTCCAATCGCTCTGAATTAACCAGGTAAGGCTAATTCACCGCAGGGAGAGAAGAGAGGAGAGTCCTTCCAAGGTGATAAAAGTACCAAGAGAGGAACTGTGGCACTTATGCGAGTCATCGATACCAGAAGTGTATGTATGAGTGGTACAAGATATCTATGATAAATGTATAACAGCAGTGAGAAGTGTAGTAGGTTTAATGGCTTAAAGTGGATTACACCAGGGGTCAGCCCTGAGCCCGTTCTCGTTTGTTGCTATCATGGACGAGTTAACTGATGGGCCTTGGAAAGGAGCGCCGTGGTCTAGGATGTTTGCAGACGACATTGTGTTATGTAGCGATAGTAGAGGAGAAGTAGGTCTGGAAAGGTGGAGGCATGCATTGGAGAGGCGTGGCATGGACTTTGTGTTGATTTGTATCATTCTGTCATTTCATATAGGTTTTATTACCCAACATTGCTTAGTATACTTCCCTTACTTGTATTGTAATGCTTCCTTATAATAAACATATTGATGAAAGTAATCATTCGTTAACAAATGTTCATCATACTTCATTTTCAGGTATTATTATTCATTAATTATAACAAAGCATGAAATTATAAAATACGTCAACTCATTTAGTATCTACAATTCATCTTTACTTTTCCGTCACCATTAAAAACAAAACACAGAAAAAAAACGAACACCCTGCCTAAACAATACATTAATTGAATATAATGCATCACCTTAATCCCAAACAAATAATTCAAAAGTACTAACCCAGGAACACGAAAAAATCAGCAAATGGCAGAGGTGTCTTGCCTAGAGTTATGGCGATGGGGGACTGACCGAGGAGCCCGTCCAAGAAATTCGGGGCAGCGCTCATGACGTTAGCGCTGGGTAAGACGAGCAAGCCAATGGGTCTGTTGACAATTGTACAGCTACTCAGCTTGCTAATTAGTACGTTGATATTATAGTAGTCACTGCACCATTACAAACCGGTTAATTTAATAGTACTTCTGTATGGATATGTGCATATATATATATATATGTGTGTGTGTGTGTGTGCGCGCGCGCGTGCACGTGTGAACACGCTTAAAACAGTAATTTTCCTCGGAAATAGATGAAACCGAAACGACCGGAAAGGTTGTTTTCAAAGCTGGAACTGATGTAGCTTTACAATGTATTCGAATAGTGTTTCGGAGTTGATATGGCTAAGGCCTCGTATCATGCCAATATTAGCAATGGAGACCTCATAAACCATTTGTAGTGTCATAATTACGCTTTACTTCAAGGGACTATCACGAAATAAATGTTATTCAAAACTAAGTCAATGTGCTATATGAAAGATAAATAGGAAGTTGCTTTGTAGTGTTTGAATATCATGAGCTAATGAAAACCAATTGGGTTTGAGGAGGGAGCGTTGTCGGTGTTACCATCAATGAGGGCTTGGTGTTCCCTGATCCAGAGGTATTTTACCTTGTCCAGGATAACAGCCCCATTCACACGAGCAGTGTTATGAAGGCATGATTTCAGCAACACCTCAAGATTACACTGTACCGCATCCTCTCAAATCGCCAGATGTAATTCCCACTGTGGGTGTTTGGGCGGCCATGGGCAGAGACTTCCCAAGATCATACCTGCAGTCGTAATATTGTCGTTACCCAAGCAATTACGGCAAGGAAGTGATTGCACTCTGCAGACGGACTCCAGTTAACGGCAACGTTAGTAGCACACATACTACTAGACTTGCCAGCATTCGCCAAGCTGGTGGCCATAACACAAAATTTTAAATAATAATTAAAAGTATTATACATTTCTAAACCCTAGGTTTTTCAAATGTTACCGAGGAAAGTGAACAAAAAAGAGAAAAATATACTATTGTAGGGGCATTTTTTAAGTTATAACCAAATCTATATAGGTATAATTAATAAAAAAAGTTAAACATTGTGGTTCATGGGGGATCAGGCTAGGCCTTGAGGGGAGCAAACAGTCTGGGGATATTATGAACAGGGACCTATAGTCCTAGAAGTTCGTGGTAAGGAATGGACAGAAGTCACTATGATTGAATGAAAAATTATCAACAAATCTTGCTGGATACTGGGAGGAAGGTTGGTTGCTTTTAAATCTGGCAATTAGTAGACAAACGCCATTGTAGTAGATTAAGTTAAAGGATGTCAATTGCTCGTTCAAAGACAAATGAGACAGAAGAACGTTTTTATTTTTTTTTTATCTATGTCCTTCATCAAGTCTGTAAAAGTAGAGTCGAAAATAAATAAGATAACTATGGATTATATTTCCCCCAACTCTTTAACAACGGAAATATTTAATGAGCGGCTTCGTTCAACCCAATAGTGAATGTAATAACAATCATAAAATTGACACTGTCTTGTGCAAATGTGATATTATTTTCGAATTGCTTGCGAGATTTCATTAAACATTTCCAAGAAGCTGAGGCTTGGAGAAGGTTAGGAACCGGTGGCCTTTACACTTCATCCCGGGGGGAACTCTCTCTACTCTTCGTAGACAGAAAGTCAAGCTGAAGCAATAAGGCAAATATTGTATATCTCATTGATACCTTCAAAGATTTTTCATCTCTCGCTGACAAACCACAGCTAGATTTCCCTTCCTCCATTCGCTAACCAACGTAGTAAATTGCATGAACATATTTTAATTGTCTTTTCCGCTACAGACAGGTATCGCGGACGGAGCGGGCCCTTGGCGGTGACCCCAGACTCTCCCGGACCCATTTTTAAAGCCTTTGTCAGGGGTGGCCAGGAATTGGGCTATTCCATGGTCGATTACAACGGTCCTGAGCAGATGGGTGAGTAAATCCGATGGGAGTCAGTGAATAAATTGAGTTAATTGGTAACAAGATTTAATCATTTATCAAATAGATCTTGGAAAAATCACAACCAGTCATCATACATCCTATCTTCAGGTTTTGCAGTCAACCAGTACACAGTCGGCAATGGCACGAGAGTGTCATCAGCGGAGGGTTACCTGCGACCTGTCACCTCCAGACCTAATTTGCATGTTCTTCACAGCGCCACCGTCCATAAAGTAAGTTTGTAGGAAGCGACGTCGGCTGAAGTCATTACCATGAATTTGCTTGTGGCTTTGAGTTAATTGTTTTAATGTTTGGTTCCTGTCACCTTCAGATTATCTTTGATGAAGACAAGAGGGCCGTTGGTGTTCGCCTGCAGTACAGGGGAAAGGTTAGTCTCTCTCTCTCTCTCTCTCTCACACACACACACACACACACACACACACACACACACACACACACACACACACACACACACACACACACACACACACACACACACACGTATGCTTATCTGTCCCTCTGTCTTTCTACTTGTCTATCCGTCTCTGCCTGTCTCTTTGTCTGTCTTTCTCTATATTTTTTCCTGTGCTTGCCATTGTGAAATCACACGAGACGAAACAAGACAATGCTATACTCACCTGCCAAAGAAAGCCACCAAGAAAATCTCAATCGCATGATGTTTTCAGATGCTTACAATTGGCGCACGTCGAGAAGTGATCGTGTCTTCAGGTGCAATAGGATCGCCCAAATTACTTCTGCTCTCCGGTGTGGGCCCCAGGACCCATCTCCAGCAACATCGGGTGGGAATATACGCTAGTGAAGTTTTATAATGGGCTTCTGAGTAAATACAAAGGGTCTGCGTCCGTAAACCCTTTTGAATGGTTTTGTGGATTGAGATATACAGGACGTTCAGCATACAGTATACAAGGATTCCCATATCAATCTCTAAGTCAAGTTTCGTTTCCTCAGATAAACGTTGTGGCGGACGTGCCGGGCGTCGGGCAGAACTTCCACGACCACGTAGACGTTAACGGTCTCACGTGGACAGTCCCGTTCGGAGCTAGTCCTCAATCCCTTGGTCTTCTTGCGACCACAGACGTCTTCTCGCCTTCATCTTTACATGAATTCATTAAGTCCAGGAAAGGTAAGCTTGTCACATGAAGGCAACCTTCATAGATAGAAAGGTTGGTTGTACCGTGTTCAAAAGTGTGTACAGTAGCGTGTACAAATATATATATATATATATATATATATATATATATATATATATATATATATATATATATATGTATATATATATATATATATATATATATATATATATATATATATATATATATATATATATATATATATATATATATATATATATATATATATATATATATATATCCTTCGCGGAAAATTCTAGTGTTCGACTTTAAAATATGACAATGCATAAAAGCATCTTGAGAAAAAGTACTTTTTCCAGGTCCACTGACTCGGATACCGCTTGAAGTTTTCAATGCTTGGGTGAAGGTATCACGGGGAGGTGACCCTCTCTGGACAGACACGCAGATTTTCTTCAATGGATTCACAGCAGGGACAGACTTTGGTCTGTTCTATCCATCACTCTGGGGCATGGACAGAACTGTATGTTATTGCTTCGTTTTCCTTAATATAAGGTTGACACTGATGTAATCGGGAAATAAAAAATGCGGTTATTTTTAACCCGTTGAATAGGATTTATTCATACTTTTGTTGCATTAAACAAAATCGTCCCTTGACATAAATATTTTACTCTTCCGTATGTCAGTAGTAAATGAATATTACAATTTACGTATGTACTTCAGATTATAAAACACTAAAGTGAATTTACGAGTAATTGTAAACTATATAATAAAGAAAATGCATAAACATACATTAAGATACAGACTATTAAGCACACGCGTTTAATTTTTCAGTTCAGTAAAGAATATTACAAAGAGATCTTTGGTCGGGAGGGTTTCACTATCAGACCAGTGCTTGTAAGACCAAAGAGCCGAGGGTCAGTCACTCTTCTCTCAAGTGACCCAACACGACCTCCAGCCATTGACCCCAACTACCTGAGTCATCCAGATGATGTGGCCACGCTCGTTAATGGTAACCAGCCTCTCTTCTTTGCAATTCCTTACCTATTATTATAATTGCAATACTTTTTTCGCATTTATTCTATTTTTTTCTGGAATGAAATTGAAGTTTTTGCCTTTTTTTCTATCCTAGGTATAAAGTTTTCGTTAGCACTGGGCAACACAACTGAATTTGCCAGAACCTACAGAGCAAGTTTCTTCAATAAGGTAACTGGTAATACGTATAATTTAATATGATTATTTAAGATCTAAATATAAATTATGGTAAAAAACTATATTAACTTTATTTTCATAAGACTTCCCTATCCAACAGCCTTTACGTGGTTGTGAAAACCTACCAGACGGGAGTGATCAATACTGGGCGTGTTATGTACGTCACATGGCCTCTACCTTTCTACACTATGTTGGCTCCTGTAAAATGGCACCGTCCTCAGATCCTTTAGGTGTTGTGGATAACAGACTAAGGTAATGGAAAACAATATTATTTGTGGAAAGCTTGCTGGCCCACTGTAAGTTTCAGGATGTTATTTTGGGCAAAATGCAAAAATAGATTGTTGTTGGTGTGTGTATGTATGTGTAGGTCTTTCTGGAGATACATACAAATAGAAAGACACTTGCACACGTACATAGCAGATACATTTTTTCCCAAGTAATTATTTCTATCTATTAAAAAAGTTTCATGTGCAATTAACATTAATGAATAATGAGAATACGATCTTTATTACCACGTTACCGTGGTCATAACATTCCATTCCTATTTCATTCTATCTCATTACTAGCTCATGTGCAAGTCATTTTCATGAATTTACCTCCAGTAAGGTATGTTGGAATGAATGGTAGACCATAGATTATTTCACGAAGTTACCTTTAGCAGGGTTCGTTGGAGTAAAAGGAAGTACACAGCCCTTTTTCACAAAATTGTCTTTCCTCTTGCAGAGTTCGCGGAGTAAAGGGACTGCGTGTAGTGGATGCTTCCGTCATGCCCTCTGTTACCTCTGGGAATACCTACGCACCAGTTATTATGATTGCAGAAAAGGCTTCTGATATTGTTAAACAAGACTGGAATCAACTAGCGTAGATCTGATCTTTGATATAATAAGGTATAAAAATCCTTGAACTGTGTATGTGGACTATGTTGTATATTTTCCAATACATGGTCACACTGGATGCTGAAAATACAGATAATGACTATGTGCCATATATTTTACAAGCTAGCTTTATAACAGACAGTAAATAAAGGAATTTGAGATGCTATCACTCTTGTGACCCAAAATATCATAGGATATAAATATTACTGATTTCTAAAACCCCAAGAACAATGGATCAAGATGCCCAAGAATGAAATGTTTAAGTTAAAATATTTGTTTTTACCAAACAAATACTGTGACATTACCAGTTTTCAGTCAAATAATCATTATAATAAGTTACCAAACACAAAAAAGATCATGTGATTTAATGCAGCATAATTTTAATATCAAAGCCTGTAATACTCAGTCTTCAGGAAATAGTGTTTCACCAGTGGAGTGTGTGTTTGCTGTGATTTTCCACTTTTCTTATAAACATCTCATGTTTCATGTGATTTTTCTTATTTCACATTATTAAAGTTAATCAATTAATACATAATTAATAAAAATGCTACTACGAGGCCGTTCCTACAATAGCGTTCGTCGCCTCCCCCCCACCGTCTTGCTCACTGCCTTGAGTTCCTGGGGGACTGGTCTCGGTCACTCCTCCGCTGCCATAGGCCTAGGCAAGATCTCTATGCCATTTTGCAGTTTTACTGGGTTGGTAATATCTTTGTTAGGTTTGGGGCTATATATTACCTTTTAGTAATATATTGCATAGGTAGGATTTTCTTGTTTATGTGTTTTGTGTATTTTGGGTTTGTTTTGGTGAAGGCATAAATAAAAATAAATTGTGATTAAATGACTTTACGTATTTTCCAAATCTTTGACAATGACTAAATACTATTTAATAATAAATGACTGATAATTGATAAAGAAGGAGGAATTAAATACATATACTATAAAAAGCATTACAATAAAATAATGAAAGTGCTTTATAAAGGAATGATAATACATTGAGACATAAATGAATGAATGAATTAACGTATTTAATGACAATAAGCTAATGACGTTAATGAGTGTCGTAATAAAGAATGAAGAATTAATTACATCAATGAATGAACAAGAAGAAATTTGACAACCACTAGTAGTACTTTAACGCAAGGAGAGTTGTTGTTACGTGGTATTAGCCATTCAAAATCAGGCTGCATCATTTTGATTTTTCGTCTATGATTCTGACTACCGCATTAGGAGAATTAGTGTTAAGTGGAGCTGCTCTTCCCCTGAATTCTCTTAGTGACATACCAGCCGTAACAATATAAATACAATACTATGTGATTAAGCAAGAAATGGAAATTAAAAGTAAATCTTTATAGGAGAGTATCTTTGGATCTAAACCAATATAATTCACCAAAATCATTACTGTTTACCGTCATCCTTGTGAAATTGACCGATTCTTATTGGGTAGAATGAAGCTCTAGAAACCATGTGAACGCCCTATCAAATAAATATTCATCATTGTACAAAAATTATATGCAACTAGATATTTCAAATGAGTTATTGAAAAGTTTTGTTCTATTTAATGAAACATAGTTACTTAGTTGACAAGTTATTTGTATTATTTTCTCACCTTAAAATATCAAAGACTGATTTCTTAGTTAAATTGTCAGTTTGTTAATCATTTTTATATATGTGATATGACTTTAAGCTTAATTCCTTAAACTTTTTAATCTGCCAACAAGAAAATTACACAAACACCTTCAGGGCAAAGAAAAAAAAGACAGTTTGAAGAAAATTTATTATATACTATTTCATAATGGAAATCCTGTGTCGACAAGGCATTGCATGTGCTAGACAGATATAATGGTCTCTGCTCATCTTTAACAATCATAGCAAAACATAAACCATTTCCGAATGCTTGTATACCTTTCGTGAATTAAATGTATTAGTGATTTTTAATATATTTATCACAAGACACCTACTCTTTAACATATATGGATAGCAGGATAATGATCATTTCATATAGTGTAACATCATTTCATACTCCCTATGGAAAAAAGTAACATCACTAAAACCTGTTAATGTGCTAAATGAAAATTACACACACTTGTATGTTGTGTTATTTTAATCAAGCAACCCTAAAGAAAGTGAGTATGTGAAACCTCTCATGCAATACTATTAAAATTACCTGGAATGGTGCTTCAACTGTGTACTCTGAATAAAAAAGAATGAAAATGCCTGCACATTGGGAATACCACTTGTCCATCAATGTGAATTCCCAGGGTAGATTAAGTAACTTGTAAATAAGATACAGAGCAAACACTGACAACCTGAATTCAACAGATGACTTCTACTTTAAAGCTTCCGTAAAGGTATATGCATGTGTATATGTGTTGCATAAATATGTATGTGTGTCTGATTTCTTAGTTAAATTGTCAGTTTGTTAATCGTTTTTATATATGTGATATGACTTTAAGCTTAATTCCTTTAACTTTTTAATCTGCCAACAAGAAAATTACACAAACACCTTCAGGGCAAAGAAAAAAAAGACAGTTTGAAGAAAATTTATTATATACTATTTCATAATGGAAATCCTGTGTCGACAAGGCATTGCATGTGCTAGACAGATATAATGGTCTCTGCTCATCTTTAACAATCATAGCAAAACATAAACCATTTCCGAATGCTTGTATACCTTTCGTGAATTAAATGTATTAGTGATTTTTAATATATTTATCACAAGACACCTACTCTTTAACATATATGGATAGCAGGATAATGATCATTTCATATAGTGTAACATCATTTCATACTCCCTATGGAAAAAAGTAACATCACTAAAACCTGTTAATGTGCTAAATGAAAATTACACACACTTGTATGTTGTGTTATTTTAATCAAGCAACCCTAAAGTGTGTTTGTTCTGTATATATGTGTATGTGTATGTGTGTGTGTATATAAATCTGATATGTTGTCCTATAATCATTGTACAAAATGAAAGAGTTTTACATCTATCCTGAATTATCATGCCAACATCAAACATAAAAAATAAAAAATAAAAAAACTTGCACTATACTTAAGAATCTCTTACAACCATTACAAAGCATCCTTTCTCATAAGGAAGGAAAAGAAATAAGAAAAAAAGATGCTTGAAAGGTGTATGAGTGCACAAAAGAAAATTACAATATCATAAATAACTGAGTCACTAACACGATTTAGGAAAATACATTATAAGTGTTAATGCCGATACAGGAATGATGTACAAGGTAATTTACCAACTATTCACACAGCCTGGCGATAAAGTATCAATAAATAATCACTGAGGCACAAGTAGCTCTACAACATGTATGATGTTTGACCATGCTGGTGTGAGGCTTTGGCTCAGAACATTAAGAACTGGGAGAAGAGAGACGACCCCTGAACTGAAGCAACTTTCTCCTACTCCTCGCTTGGTTTCTCCGCAGCTTCTCCACCTTCTCCCTTGGCGTCTTCGGCATCTTCTGGTTTACTCTCGAAGTTATCGCCCTCTTTGGGCTCTGCTCCAGCATTATCAAAAACAATCTCCTCTGGGTCTGGGGCACGGGGCAAGAATTCTTCCTCCGGGAACATTTGGGAGAACACTGACTGTGCCTGTGCATAAGAATGGTAGTGTTAAATACTAACAGTAGGAAAAACAAAGGCTGCATTTATGTTTGTAAACTGAACACAACAAGTGTGCAATGAGTGCAAAGCAATCCCATCTAAATCCATAATCATTCACCATTGTTCAAGAATAACTGGAAAGAAAGAAAGAGGGAAGAAGAAAAAAATAATAATAATAAAAAATAAATAAATAATAATAATAATAACTAAGCATTATACATCAAGTTCATCAACAAGGGACTCCTGTCTTGAGATTATTATTGGACTCCTGTCTTGAGAATACTAAAACCTAAGTAAAAAACCAAGAAACATCTAATCCAACAAAGAAACAAATGTGAATTAATGTATTACAAATGAAGATAAATACCTGAGAAATAGCAGAATCATAATCCAGCTGAGAGTCAGGTCCTGAGCAAAGATGTAGGTTGGAGGTGCCACATGAAGAGAGGTCGACACCCGAGAAGTCCTCCTGTTAAAAATATACATAAAGATAAGAGTAAGCTGTTGTAATAAGAAGATATTAATAGAGAAAAGCTAGAAATTATTGAAACTATTGAATAGACCAATATTAAATCTTGTACAGATTTTGGTGAATTTGAGTGATCAATGGACAGTATGTATGTTTAAAGATAGCTTACATTCTTAAGTAGCTAATATAAGTCTAGTGGGTTATTAAATGAATCCCAAACATGTGACATTTAAAAGGCCAGGTAATGCTTAAAGGTTGCACTGCACATATTAATGTCATATGAGGAAGGCAAGATGGATAGCACAAGTATGTAATTTTCATGGAAAAATAAAAAGCAATGTAATTTTCTTTGTTCTAATACTTCATAATGGCAAAGAAAAAAATAACAGTATTAATGCACAAAATCTATAAATCTATAAACATACATATAAATAAATTCATAACCATATATATAAACAAACCAATAAAACTAAAGCAGTGATAACAAACCCCATTGAGGTATTTAAGATTTATAACAACTTGAACACTCCCAGGAATGAACTTACCTGATTGAAGTATAAAGACCACAAAATCTTTGGTTTATCCGAGTCCTCATCTGTAGCAAACAGTTTCTGTACAGATGATTTGAAATCCTCCTCAGCATCATATCCAAGGCATGTCATGTGAATGCAATCTGCAACCAAAGGATAGTATCAAAACAAAGCCCTTATGAAAACTATACAGAAAGAAAGAAAGAAAGAAAGAAGGAAAGAGAGTGAGTGAGTGAGTGAGTGAGTGAGTGAGTGAGTGAGTGAGAGAGAGAGAGAGAGAGAGAGAGAGAGAGAGAGAGAGAGAGAGAGAGAGAGAGAGAGAGAGAGAGAGAGAGAGAGAGAGAGAGAGAGAGAGAGAGAGAGAGAGAGACGGAGAGAGAAAAAAAGAGAAAAAGAGAAAGA